TCATCAAGTGCATTTGTTTTTCTTTCAGATTTTCTACATGTTTCAGCTGAAGATAAAATATCAAGTGATTTTTTTGTAAGTGCATTTCGTCTTCATCTTCGTCTCCATTTAAGAAAAATGCAGCTGAAGAGCTTCAGCCAGTAGAGCTTCTAGCATTGACAAAAGAGAAACAAATACAAATACAGCTGTAGAGCTTCAGCCAGAAGAGCTTCCAGTAAATATTTGATTCAGATTTTGTAAATATTTGATTCAGATGTCATCTATTGTTCATAACCTGATTATTATCTATTTGTTTCAGAAGCCATATTTACTGAAAGAAAAACAAATACAGATAAATGGTAAACTCTGGTGTTGTTGATGTACTCTTAACATTAGCTTGACATACACAAGGACTAGACAGTTGATTTGGTAATGGAAAACTTGCAAAATAGACTGAAACATGTAGAAAATATCAAGTGATTATACAAGCACTTCAGCTGCATTTTTCTTAAATGGAAGACCATCCAATATGATGTTATTGTCAACAGAAATCAGGTCATCAACCACGTCGCAGAATTTCAAACAAAACCAGACCATTATTCATCAGATGCTATAACAAAAAGTTGTAGAAAATATCAAGTGATTATTCATCTCCATTAATTATATTCTTATCAAATATGATTTGATAAGCCATTTACAAAAAATTGAAACAAATAGATAACATCAGAAGGTGAAAATAGATAGTCAAAAAAATACCCAACAATTGGCAGCGATTTGCTGAGGAACGGAGGATTGGCGGCGATTTGTTGAGCGGCGGGTGACGACGAATTGCTGAGCGGCGGATTTTAGATGAAGTGGCGAGCGGGGGAGTTGACGAACTGAGGAGTCGGAGTCGACGGACGGACGGTCGGAGTCGACGGACGGAGAGGAGAGGATGAGGATCGAGCGACGAGTGGGAAGGGAGTCTGGGAGTGGCGGCTGAAATTGGGAATGAGATCTAGGGTTTAGCCGTTTAGGTGATGAAAAGAAATCACGGGTCGGGTCTCTCCTCTCTCGGACTCTGGGATCAGATGGGTATATCGGTCGGTTCGGTCATTTCGGGTTGAAAAGATTTCAACCCGACCCGAACTGCCATACAAGTAAAACCGAACCAAACTCTTGATTTCGGTTCGGTTCGGTCGGTTTTTTCGGTTTGGACCGAACCGTGCTCACCCCTATATACATATCACACAGAGAATATTGATGCGCAGGAATAAAGATAAAAAAGAGGTTAAATATCCATCAAAGGAGGGGGGAAAGCCACTCTCGACAAAGTATTTCTTTAACTTTAATTACTTATCGTTTGTCTTCTTTTTAACTTTTTACTCTTTGCAGAAAAGACCTATCAAATTATTGCTTTTTTCATTTTCAAATTTTTTGACCAAATTTGTTCAGATTTTCTTTTGATTTCACTACTTCTCACCGTTTTTAAAGAAAGAATGATCATTTGTTTTTTAAGATTCTCATGTGGTCATTATTTGAAAAATTATTTGCTTTTTCTTTTTCAAAAGTTTTGACTAAATTTGTTCCGATTTTCTTTTGATTTCTTCTCACCATTTTTAAAGATAGAATGATCATTTATTTTTGAAGATACTATCAAAAAGATTAAAAGAAAAAGCTGGGGGAGATTATGACAAAAGAGGTGCGCTTTTTCCCCCCTCTCTCATAAGACGTGGGAAAAGCTAATATTTGACGTTCATTTCTAGTGTCATCAAAATCAAGGAATAATGCTCAAAGATCAAGGTTCATTAACAAAGGGCCTGCATACAAAAAGTAAACGACATTAATCTCTTTGTCCGAACTTACAGCCTAGTTTCTTGAGGTCCTAGTTGACTATTGTTTAAGAGTAGTGACAAGATTTTTTTTTTTTTCCAAAATGTAAATATTTTATTTATTGCTTGATGTTTACTTCTAGTTAGGCTGTGGTTCGTACTTTGTTTTATCACAAAACAGAAAAATTTAGAGACTATAACATTAAACAAAGAGTTAATCTTCATTTTTTTGTACCCAATATCCAATGGACAAAGATTTTTCTTCTCTCGTACACTGATCAATTCATGAGACCCTTAAATGAGACAAGAGCCAGCTTAGGATGGGTCAAGGTCAAACGAGGCAAGTTTGACCTTAATTATTCTCATGAACTCTCACTATCAAACTCATTACTCATGTACGAAGTTTTTGCAGCTAGATTAAAAACTCTGTTGGATATTATTATTATTATTATTATTTTACTAAATTGCACTTAAATACCATAAAATTTCCTCGCTTGGTCACTTATATATCGCACACTGTATTTTATAGCAGGAAAATATCATAAGTTATTAAGAAATTAGCACATTAGTACCTTCAATTATGCAAATATGAAAATTTTCATCCAAATATTCGCATATAACACTATAGTTTTATAACTTTCTAACCATTAATATTTCTTGAACTTATCATTAGATACATCTCAACTATATTTTAAAAGAGAATTAAGATAAGTTTAAAAAAATTAGTTGATTTAATAGTAAATTTAAAAAATATTAATGATTAGAAGCTCTAAAATTAGCATGTAAGTATCATAGAAAATCATTCAAGTGAAAACTTTCACATTTGCATGATCAGCTCCACTATAATGTTCTAGTTTTTTTAACGACTTATGGTATTTGAGTATTTCTCTAACAAAATACAACTTACTATATTTAAGTGCAGAGCATGGAAACTTCCCGATATTTAAGTGAAATTTAGTCTTTTGTCCCCTTTGTACGTAAGAAGTATTCGAAATAATAAAGCCATGAGTAATTGAAATCAGCAATCAGGACCCGATTTGTTTATTATTTGCCAGTTTGATCTTAATTATTTACCATGAAGCCACTTAGGTACGTATTAATTATTTGACGAAAATATCAAAATTCCTTTTTTTTTGGGGTGAAATTTCTATTAGTTGGCCAATATTATGTTTTTTGTACAATGTAGGTACCCATTGAATGTACAAGGTTCATTTTGTGCCTTTCTACATGGACCGAATACTGTATGCAGCTATAATAATGATAAGCCCACTAATAGAAATATGGAAAATATTTCTTTACGCTGTCCCACAGCTCTAAGTTTATTTACACATCGAAATATTTCTTTACTTCTTCACCCAGATCTAGGCACACAACATACAGCTCTAAGTTTATTTACACGTTGCTAGCTGAATATGTTACCCTGTGTCTCAGAAGAAAAATGACACATACCATCTTTCTTTTTTTTTTTGAATTTATACATAAAAGAAAAGGATAGAGCATAGTGTGATACACAACATTCATAGCGTTATCTATATATAGCTTCCAGTATATAATTCAACTTTCATAGCAACCCAAAACCTAAATTTAGTGGAGCCAGATATCAGCATATCACTCCAAAACCCAAATAATAGCAGATAAGCTTTTGGTGGTGTTCAGCAAGAAAGCAATCAACACAAATAGTCCATCCCTAGTTGCTCAACCCTCTTCCTCCCAATAAAGCCATTAAGGCTTGTAGAAACGCTTTAGATTTGTTTACTTTGAATGGTTCATTACCCAGAGCCTACGTATTGATGCAAATGTTGACAGAGAGATATCTTTCCCAATAAAGTTTCGATAAAATTTAGTGATTCTCCCCTCTTTAAGAGGATGAAAGACTTGCTCACCCTCCCTTTTTACTTAAATTGTAACCATATCTAGCCATCCTACATCAAAGATATAATTCAACAGAATGGGAGTATTGAGAGATTATGGAGAGATGCATCACTTTCTGAAAGAAGCTCCATACCTTGAATGCCTCGAGCTCAATTCTTCATCAGACGTGGAAGAATCCAATCAGAAACTACTTTATCCTAATATAGTAAGGGAAGGACTGCAACTAACTTTAGGCATGATTCATCTATAAATGAAAGCATATTGTCATATGTCACTAGTTTGATGGTTGCATTCAACAACATTAAATTGATTTGTGAGTGGAAGTCACTAACCAAGATCCTGAACCACAAGACCAAATCAATAGAGAGATCATTATTTACAACAAGTTATGGATGTCATGAATTGGATAGGAACTGCCCTAAAGTTCTCACGTGTGCATTGCATGTTGTATAACATCATCTGCAGGCTTTAGTTTATGCATCTAATTATTTCTTATATCAAATTATGCTCCTCAGTTCCACAAACTCAACTACTTACAGAACTGTGTTCTGGTGAAAATGGCGGCCATGCTTACACTTGCATTGGTATTTCCTGATCTGATAACTGAATTAGTGTAGGTACCCTAGATTGACAATTTGTCTATATGAATCTCTCCAATGCTTTTGTGAAACTTTCTTCTTGACCGTGCCATACTTCATGTACCACCTATTTTTCTTGGAAAGGATTTGAACTGTGACAATGATAAATTACCTTTGTACTTATCAGTGCAAGTTAAAGGTTGGTACCTCTACTATCTTAAATGATGACAAACATTTTTCTCGTGGCTAGGTCCAGAGTAAGATTCTTTTTAAGGACATGGATCCAGATCACAAATCCTGCAAAAACTTCCGTAATTACACACGCAAGCGCGTGCACAAAAACTTACTTAATCAATTGCGCGCGCGTGCACACAAAAACAAACAATACGCACACACAAACACAAAATATTATATTACACAAGCACACGTGTGAGAATGAGTACACACATGCATGCATGGATATACATTATCTAAAGTCAACAAAACATCTAATACATATTGATGTTTCAGCATGAATAGTTGAATTTAGATTAGTTTTCTAATCATTACAGCATTACTTGCATCTTTTCTATAATGCTTCACTAGAAAACAAAAGGTTCTCCACTATACATATTTGTACTTCACGGTGGCATCAAGTTGTCTTTGTATAGCAATTCGGCACCATACTTTTTTCAATTCAACAAGAAGGATGATATAATGTGACAGAGAGAAATGTAAAGGAAAACTAAAGCATGTCTAGAAAAAACATTGCGCAGAACAGGAAAATATAAAATCCGGAATTTTTTTCTTTTATTCTAGATTAATGTACAGATTACAACTTCTAGACATAAGATAGAGAAGAACCTGTCTAGTTTCTGTAAGTGTACAAAGCATATATCTGCAACATTAATTGACAAACCATCCAACCTTACAGGCTCATCTCCTTCGGCAAGCTGATTTCTAGAAAGTACAAGCTGCCAAAACAATGAATTTCTGTGTCACAATCTTAAATCAGATAACACAAAAATGAAACCAGAAGCAAAAGTTTGATGCTCGAATAATAACTTCACATCATCCCTTGTCCATGAATTCAATCAGATCTAGTTACTATCGACATACTACTTAAAACCTATTGGGTGAAAAAGAATCCTCTAATAGAAATTCACCAAAAGCAACACCAAACAAGAGGCCATTTCATTTTGAGAGTGAAGCAAATGCTTTCACTCTTATTCAATGTTTAACAGGAAGTTATAAAAAAATATTGTAAATTATTTTTCCTATTCGAGGCTAACCTTGCTGACATAAAAGCCATCCCAAAGAAGACTGCTTTAACAGCTTGCTTTTGGCCAGCATAGTCAAATGCTAGAGGTAGCATTTCGTGTAAAGTTAGAAAAGCCATCACACCACCAACTGCATGAAAGATAATTACTCGGGGGATAAAAGAGCAGTATAAACAAATTTTCATTTGAGAATAAACAATATCTGCTTAAAAGGAGGCACCACCTGATCCAAGTAAACCTTCAAGAATTTCAGGACTTAGACTGCTTGGGAAGAGGTAAGCTGCATTTATCAAACTCTTTTAGACAACGTTTTTTGCGTAAACATAATAGTTGTTCAAAGAAATCCAAACCATTTCATATTCTAAAGCAGTTGTATCATAAAAAGTTTAGTTCCTTACAAAAAACCTATGGAAATTAGGAGGTAAACCAGATATATTATGTATATATGGTATTTGATGGATAATCAGAAATATGTCGATAAGAAACTTCATACAAGCAACAAATGAAGAACAAGGCTATTGTAAAAGGACATCAGTACATCTGAGACACTATTCTTACGGCGTTGAAATGGGCATACGACATCTGCATTTGTATAGTGTGAGTCATGTGACAAATATTCTGTTATCTATTACACTCTAATAAACACATCAGAGATGCTTCTTGTTATGCTTGCATGCCCCTTTTAACCAATAATGATTTCAAAGAAAGTAGGCTAGAAGTATATGCATGTGCATTACTGTGCACAAAAGCACATGGAAATGACTACCACAATATATTGGCCAAACTTAATCTTATCTTTTAGATGAAAATTGTTATATTTTTGCTAACGAATCAGACCTGAGTTAAATTACTAAGAACATAACCGTATAATTTATGCTAGAGTTGTTACCTGAGATTGGCTTAAGAAACCTATTTTGTTATAAAAAATATTATGACAGATTCTCTAATAATAACTTAACCAACAAATGGATCATCCTTCCTTTCACCTTCTCCCCATCTTTCTCAAAGTTTAAAAGTGAAGAAAAATGTCTCTAAATTTCTCCTCAAAGCAGGCATGCACTTCTCATAGATTATCATCCTATAACGATTGTGCATGATGATGCCTGTGTTAATGCTTCATGTATCTACTATTAGTTCAATTCTTACGAGTCACCCATCATGTAATGTCAAAAGACTCCACATTTTCCTCCCAGGCCTCACACCATAAAAGAATTTTTGCTCAAGGAAAATTGCTTATTAGGAAACGGACAGGAAAGTAACAGTTAACAACCAAAGACCAGCAGGAAGTGATTGTTCCATGTCCTGAGCAACATGCAATGGAGGATTTAGCTAAACCAGAATGGGATTACAGTCCTACCAATGATGGAGCAAAACAACATTCGACTAGTGATCGAGCATCTTCCCACTTTAACAGGTAAGTAAGCTCTATAATTGTCTTCATTATGAAATGTTACAATGCTAACAGTCCACTTGCAACAAGAGCCCACAGTCAATATAAGCATAAATACAAATAAGAGATTTACATACCTACAATAATTACACCTAATGGCTCAGCAAAACCAGAAAGTGTTGCCAGTTTGAACGCCTGCCATTTACTGGGTCATGCAGATAGGTACAATAAAAGAAAATGTATTAGGATAATTGCCCTAGTTATATGACTTCAGCTTGATATGCTCGTAGAAGAAAAAAACGAAGGAGGATAAAAGATTTGTTGTCTACAATTTTAAGAAGTATGAACTTGCAAATCCAAATCAAAGATATTAAATGACAATATTCAATTCTTTAGTTCATACAACGCTACTCTCAAATCCCTACAAGCCTTACCTTTGAGTGGCAAAATAGACAGGAAGGGCTACAGCAACACCCTGCACAAAGAAACATAGGTGATTATGAAAATATATACCGTTTCTCTAAAGCAAGTTCCCAAAATAAAGGCTCGCAGAAAGTGCTGAAAGCAGATATTTCCTATGCCAGAAGTGAGAAAGAGAGGATGCAAGAACTTTAAAAAGATTCAGAATATCTCATAATATTTATAAATCTTTGCATACTTGCTACATATTTGAACAGCTTTCAAAGCCACAATTTGAACATAGTGTTCAAGTGATCTTTCTGTTGTATTGCTTCTACATGCAGTTGTTTGATGATATAACTTAGAACATGGAATTTGCTTAAATCTGAGAATATATAGATCTCCTTTCTAACAAATTCTGGAGTTAATCCACTAATTTTCTGTGTGAGAAAGGCAGTAAATTTAGCTTTCTTTCTATTTATAGAAAAAGAAACATTTTAGCTATAGTTTTAAACTTAAACCAAAAATGTAAGTCAAATCAGCTCCTTTTGGGCTCTGTTGAAGATTTGAAGTACTTTAATTTGACTGGCTCAAAAAAACAGACATTCCAAAACAGACTGCATCCTCAGCAAGAGCCTGTTTAAGCAGATCCATGAATTTCTTTCTTACCTTTCTTTTCCTTTAGCTATTAGTGAAAGAGTTCATGCGCTATAAAAAAACCCCCCAACCCCCCCCCCCCCCCCCCCAAAAAAAAAAAAAAAGGAAAAGAAAAATTTTCTCTTCGAATTAAGAGATAGGGTTAGAGATCTCTTTTTATCCCCTTAAATTGATTTGAAATTTAGATTCCTATTCTACAGGTTCCATCATTAAAAAGTCAAAAAAGCTGAAACACATCGGTTTTGGCTCAAGTTAAAACCTTGGTTTTGGTTGCCGATCCTCTTGATAATGCCTGATTAAAAAGTGGCAGAAGTCTTGTTCTAGTTCCCTACAGATGGACTCAAGTATCACAACCATATCATCACTTAAAGGTGCTTGAAGTTTTCTTCTGATTTTCCACACACTACAGACTATCAAAGCTGCCTCAAATTTCCTTTCAATTCCCCTGCAATCACAAACAACCACAGCATCCAAGAAGCTAGAAGCCAATCCAACATGACCAGGCTATAGCGATCTGAAATCCAACCAACCATTTACCTGTTAACTTCTAGATCACTTGTTGCACTAGAGATTAAATGTAGAAACTACCAGAGCTCATGCATCTCTATCTTCCTAAGATGAGTGTTTCACATTCCCAAAGGGACAAAGAAAGTAAGCAGTTGTGCATATAGCCTTAATGGAAGTTACGTATGCCACATCAGGGAAACAAGCAGTTGCGCATATAACCTTAATGGAAGTTACATATTCCACATCAGGGAAAAGATGAGTTCAAGTATGTTATACTGACTGGAAGATAGTTTGAGACATAAGCAGGAAAAAGAAGGTTATAAGGAAAAATTTCCCAGCTGCGAAGTTGACAAGTTACTATTGAATCTTATAGGTAAATTTTGCTTTTACATTCGAATACAAAGTGCAGATAGAAAATGTACCTCTGGAATATTGTGCAATGCAATAGCCAGAGCCAAATTAATGCCAACACGAAGTCCCTGATCAAGATAAGAAGCATAAGAATATGCAACCTTAACATACATATAATCATCTGATGTACCCAAGGCAATAATAGTTATCATAGAATATTTTCTTCTAGACCTATAAAATATAGTATGAAAAGAAAGTTGAAAGGCACACCTTCACTGAACCAAGAAACACTGCCATTCCCTCAGGAAAGTTGTGCAAACTGATACCTGAAGTTTAAAAGGGCAGAAACAGAAACATATAGTATTAGTTGATTGATATAAACATGCGGCTTGTGGTATAGTAGATTAAAAGATCAGTGTAAAAAGCATATAAAAAGATCAGTATATTAGCTCAACTATACTAAATATGAATACCTACAAATCCATAAATTTTTAAGTTATGCATCAGAAATATAATTCTGTATTAACTTCTGCCTAAGGAACAAGGTATGACTGTATGAGACCTCGATTTTCAGTTCTTTAACTAGAGCATAATGAATTTCTATGAAACTAGAGAAAATCATTTAGTGACGGAAGAAAATGAACTGAGGAACATCTCATGTAGGAACTAAAAATGCTTGGGTTATTCTGATTGTCATCCAAAAGGTCAAGCTGAAAAATCAGTAAGCAGAATAGTGACAAGCTTTCCCTCCATCCGATGAAGAGTCAAGGACAAAGGTGGAAAGAAAAATACCTTTTTTCGTGAGCTTATTTTACATGCTAATTCTAGAGTTCAGATGAATAGAAATGATGGCTAAAAACACTAACTAGGGTAATATAGAATATCTCCAAGCTATATAAATCAATACTTACTAGAATGATTGTAACCCATCATTGAGAATGTAAAATAAATATATAAATGCATTGAGAACTCAAAAAGCTTGTTAGCTCTTTTAATTACACAATTCAAATATTAAACTAGATTTAGTTTTCTAAATAAATGACCTCGATCTACCATTGCCAAATTTTCTGTAGGCTATTTAGCACAGCAAATCTTATTCATCTATACTATGGTTCTAAAGTATTCCGGGAACTTTAGCTCGTTGGCTGCATTTCTGTAAAATGCACAACCAAGAAGGGTCTCCTTACATATCCAGTGGCATTCTAGGTGTAATGGAAACCCTCCTAATCCATACTTTCATTTGCTAGGGATATAACACCAGTTAAAATGGTTGGTGTTCAGTTGACAGCTACCCGTGCTATTGATAAAATTTTATGTCAAGCTTTCTAATACGCAAACGTGCCCCTTTCTGGGTCCCTTTTATGTATGGTTTGGTAGGAGGTGACTGAGGTGAGGGAAAGGACAATGAAAAAATGAACGAAAAAGTTAGTAGGAAACAGCACGGATGATGATAGGATTATCTTCAATAAATCTATTAGCTTTCTGCAGATAGCTCCAACTAATATATCAAGCAGAGTTCATATTGTTGTCCACAGGATAAAAGATGATAATTAAAAACTCAAGACACGACAAAGAATATGGCATAGATTGATTGTTCAAATGAATTATCCTAATAATGGACAAATGAGTGAAAAACAAGAAAGAAAGGCAGATTTTAAAAAATAAGAACATGCATACCAACTGCAGTTATAATTCCGCTAAATAAGACTTGCCGGCGATGCTTTTTCATGGGGTCTTTACCTGAGCCATCATCATCTTTCTGTTACCACAGAAATAAATAGCTAAACCAAAATCCAGGACCCTCATCCATGTATGAGAAAACAACTAGAATGTAAATTTAGAAGAATGTATGTACTTGAATGAAGTTAAATTGCAGACAAAGATCCATACCCTTTTTTCGTCCACATCTGATACCGGAACAAGTGAAGGTTCTGGTATAAAATTAACTATAATTGCAAAGGAAATTACTCCTGCATAGAACTGTATGGTAGAATAAAATTCTTAGATACAGATTTCTCTTAAAGAATGAACGAGTGGCATCCTGAAGAACACCACTGCTATTCCAGCTATAAAAAAAGGTCGTCTCACCCAAATATTGCCCTTAAGGAAGCCAATAGAGTTCATAGCATTATGAGCCAAGTCTAAAAATGATATGCTCAGCATGAGGCCAGCAGCAAAACCCTGATAAGAAAAATTCAACCTCAACTGACAGTTTCCTACAGTGCAACAGGAAAAAGGGAATGAAAATAGAAGTCACCTGCAGAAGACCAAGTGACTTGAGATTGGGAGCACGATTAAGAACCACAAAAAGTGCACCTGAAGCAAAGAACAAAAACCATTATTAGGAAAAAGTGTTCTTTATACAAGTTCCACCAAACAACAATCTGCATACTCACAAAGCAGGGGAATTTTTATATTATCGAGAATTTCAGTTGTTCTTACTGCTGGCTAATGAAACTTTCACTTAGACTTTATCTAATAAGAACAACAAATAGAAACCTTTGTATTCAAAGATTTATTAAATTTAAATATACGTTCCTTTACACATTTTTGGTACCATGCACTTTAGAATGTAAAACAAAATCCAAATACCAAAGTAAACCTAGATTGCTCAATGTATAGTAGCTAGGTAGCAATAGGAACAGGATTTGGAAATTTCAATGTTAAATTACAGCTATAGTCACAAGATTATAGAATGCGCTAGGCAGCCTAGATGCTCGAATAGACGCCTAGAGCCTAGGCAGGGCCTAGCTGGTTTTTCTATTTTTATTTTTCAATTACAATAATTGATAATAAATGCCAATGTTATAGAAAGCACAGGCATCGGACTGGCACCTAGGCAAATTTCTTTCTTCTAAGTGGAGGTGGAGGCTGTTTGGCTGAAGACTAGAAGAGGTAGAGGAGGTGTTCACAGTTGAGGCTAGAGGAGTTTGAGATTGGAGGACATGGAGGTTGCAAGGGAGGAAAGTACGATCAAGGTCTAAAGCGGCCAAAAGGGTGCATTCCACGTAGGCAACCCACATGCGTGTAGGCGCATCCAAAACCTAGGTGGGTAGTCTAGGTACCACCTAGGCCTAGATGCTAGGTGCGTGGTCTAGGTACCACCTAGGCCTAGGCAGGCGCCTAGATGGGCTAGACGGAGGCTTTTTAAAACATAGGGTATAGAAAGCGGGCACCCATGAATGTTCCCTTCTTGAATTTCCTCTAGGTTCAGAAGTAGGGTGATCTTTATACTACCATCTTCTGATTTTGAGGAGTTTCGAACTTACCTAGCACTTATAAATTTCCTGTAGCTATCTACTTACTGCATTTTTTGGATGAACTTGAGACCAAGTCATGGTTTATAAGCTAGAATGCAGGGCAATAAAAGAAAAAACATCTCCAAAGCTTTAAGCCCATTAATAATACTAATGTTCCTCCCAGTCCTCATCTTCCTACACGCGAGTAGACTAGACATTTAGGTTGTAACAACTTGCCGTTCGAGCTCTCTGATCCCAGACTCCCTATCAGTTCATGTTCCTGGTTCTAAATTCTACCATGACAAGTATAATTGAGGTTTATATGCTACCTTTAGTTACAAAACCAAAAGTCTGAATGTTCCAGAAAAATTGGTATCTTCATCTTGTACTGTTATTTTCAGGTGAAATGTAAACTTTTTGGATTATATTCATGTGTTATTATCCACATCACAAAATAAAAAAAGAATAGAAGAGGTAGGTTTAAATTGTGGGATCCAGCCTAATCTTCAAAAAAATCTATAAGTTTTCAAAAGAACTCATCATCTTGAAGGTCTTGATGATCTTACCGTGGAAAATAGAAAATATCTCAATTATGTTTAAGGACTCATACAAATTAGGGATTCAATGTAAAAGTTGACAGTGTCAGTAATAGAGCAATGTAAAATTTCCTTTCCAAGTCTGCATAATTTTCTTCCAAAAATGAAGTAAAAGATCCTGTATCAAACCTCTGGGGTCAGATAGATGAATCATTCTCCTTCATTCAGTTGTAAGGGTCATCTACTTTGTTAAGCTTGTTTGTTATGGTCCAATCATTCTCCTTCATTCAGTTGTAAGGGTCGTCTACTTTGTTAAGCTTGTTCGTTACGGTCCAAAACCATGCTCCTTTAGGCTGACCCTGAGTCTAGCGAGTAAGGATTTTATCAGAACACACTATAGAAAAGGATGATTTTTACCATTCGCGGACAGTTAGTCACGGACAGTTAAGAGGATTAGTTTGGGAGTTACAACTATTCTATTTATGGTATAAATGATCTACTCCTATAGGCATCACTTTCATCTAAGGCCTTGTCATTTCCTTAATCAGCAAATCCATGTTCAAACTAAAACCATACGCAACAACTATCTCTTATGTTTCCCCCAAACGTAACCTACACGTATATTTGCACATGTAGACCAATAAAACACGCCTAGTCCTCCAGCCATCCTACAAAAATCCAACTTCCTGAATCCCCAACAATCATTTGAGATGCACTGCTCACCTTTCAAGTGTCATTTGCTACAATACGAGCAGTAAGAACTTGTTTTTAAGGTTTTAGTAACAAACTAATCAACTGGAACAAATTGTTATCAAGAACTCTAAAAAATTCATAACAGATTTGTTTTCCTTAACCAAAAAAGACTTCCCAAATTCTTCAGCAATTCAAGTAATACAGCAAAAAAGAAACACTAAGAACAGCAGCAAGACTAACTGAATTAGCACCGCATGCCCTTGAAAAGCTCCAAAGCTTTAAGCAAATGCAATCAGAAAACCCTAAAACTTACCGATTGAAGTGCTGAGCCCGCCGACGAGGGAGAGACCGAGAGCGACGAGGATTTGAGAATCCATCGGGATTAGTCAACGAGAGAAGAGAGCCTTCAAACCAAAACCCTAGGTCTCTCACAATCGATAGGAGAGTACACTAGGGTCTGGGGGTTTTTAGAGAAGGGATGAAAGCGGGAGTGGGAATCTGAGGGAGTTTTATGTAATTTTTTTTATTTGTTTACGAGAGAGGGAAATGCATTGACTGGTGACGGCGGCTACAAATTTGGGTCTGATTATGCAAGTCTTTCTTGTTTGAGGCTTTTAGAGAAGTTTTTATTCTTGAGCGATAAGTGTTTTTTTAGGGTTTTTACGTATGTGCCCCTCCTTAAATCTTACTATTTATAAAATTGCCCTCCAATTCTCTCACATGGGGTCTTTCTTCTGCTACTACTTAGCAATAACAATAACTAAATAGGATAATGTCAAAATTTTCCAATATTTCCAATCGGTTGACAATATCCTCTGTTACAAATTAAAGCAGTTTAGTCGAAGGGGTAGAAAAACTCAGTATGAGAGAATTGAAGGGTAATGTTACAAATATCAAAATGTAGAGGGTAAACTTGAGGGGTATGTATGCAAAAAAAAAAATCTTTTCTGTTAAATATGGGAATCGAACCCATTCTTTTTTAAGAAGAAGGAATCTGCCTCCATCCGTTATTGTATATTTATAACTCCGTCCAAGTTTTTATTTATTTTATAGAACGTGTCCGTTCTCCTTGCCTCACTCTGAAATTTCTCACCGAATCCACTTCTTAAAATAAACATTTCTCAAAAAATGACATCGTCGACCCATCATTGTCAACAATGAACTGCCCTACGTTCAGTTGTGGGTTACTTTGGGCAAATCATGTAATTTTATTCGGATTTTTTTTTTTGGATGTTTGTTTACACTTTCTTTCATGTGGGGTTTAAGTTTAAAACCCCTTCTTGTTTGATATTTCTCACAGAAAAGGGTGTGTGTGTGTGTGTTAGGGGGGTTGTTAGCAAGAAGTAAATTTTTTTTGTTATTCTAGTTACATCGCCTTTGAAGGGGAAAATATTTGTGTGTTTAATTTTCTCTGCTGCTATGGTTGGGGTTAGAGAAGGGGGTCAAGGGACTACATAATAATAATTTTAGGTGTAAGGCTTGAATGTTGCCACCAATAGCAAATGCTCCCAATCGATGGAATACGATAAAACCGGAATAAATCTATTCTTTTATACAAATGGGAGAAACAAAGAGTCACTGTTCATGCTACAGTAAATGTTACAGTAGATTTACTGTAGCAGTATTACTGTCACTGTAGCAGATCGGTTACTGTAGCAGCTCGGGAATGGCACTGTAGCAGCTCGGGAATGGCACTGTAGCAGGCGAGTTACTGTAGCACCCCAGAAAATTCAAACCGGGAGAGTTTAAAAACGGCGGGAACACTGTAGCAAAAAAAACACCGTGCTGCGCACGGGCTGCACACTAGTTTGTACAATGATTGGATCGTAAAACAATGGGTAAATTACACTAAACCCCTAGGAGCTTTTAGCATCTTTTAGTAAACGCTCGATAACTTTTGTAGAAAAATCCCAATATTTATTGGGTAAATTACACTAAACCCCATTAACTTTTAAAGTAACTTTACATGTTGTGTTTGGTTCTAATGTAGGGGGTCATCTGCTAAATGAAAGAGACGTATTGTTGATTTTCTGCATAATGCAAAAGTTATTGGGGCTTTAGTGCGATTTCGAAAGTTATTAAATGTTCACTACAAATAACTGAAAGTCCTTTGGGGTTTACTGTAACTTACCCTAAAAAATCGTGTTTGTATCTAATTAGCAATCATGAAGCAGCACAGAAATAAGCACCACAACACAAACCAAAGTGTGCTACGAGAGCTTATTCAAATAATGGAGAAATTTTGAAAAGCAACACCTTTCCAAAAGTAATTGTAAAAAACGATCTACTTCAAAATTATTTGTTAAATAAGATCCAGTTTTAGCCAGTTGGCTAAAATTGGATCGTTTTTGGCGAAAAAAATACCAAACTTCACGGGACTTAGTGAAGTTTGGTATTTTTTTCGTCAAAAACGACCTAGTTTTAAAGTCCCATGATGTTTGGTAATTTTTTCGTCGAAAACGACTCAGTTTCAGCAAACGTGCTGAAACTAAGTCGTTTTTTACAATTAATTTTAAAATAGGACGTTTTTTACAATTACTATTGGAAAGGGGTTCCTTTCCAAAATTTGTCGGTCAAATAATACTAGAGACATGATTCTGATGGGCACAAATTTTCGTAAATCGAAAAGGATGGCATCTAGATGCATGGGGCTTAATAATTGTATGAAAACCTTTAGGGGCTGTTTGGTTTTTTTTTTGTGGTAAAAATGGGGAAAGCTGTCAAAAATGTTAGCTTTTTGACAGCTTTTTCCCAAAATCACCCCTTAAAAAGGTGATTTTAGAGGAAAGCTGTCAAAAAGCTGATATTTTTGGCAGCTTTCTCCTCTTTTACCACCCAAAAACACATATCCAAACAGCCCCTTAGATTTGTGCTTATCGTTTGGAGCGTAGCAGAGTTCCGTTTGGTCCAATCCCGTTGAAGCCCGCTGTCACACTTAAAAGGATACTCTAGAGCTCACAAGTTAAGAAGCCTGTATGGGCTTAAAGCCCAACAAGTTGCTAACCCCGTTTTCGGGTAAAAAAAAAATTGGGCGCTACAGTTCCGGCCTTTGTTACACTTCTCATATTTAAAATTGCAGCCGTCCATGTTTGTAACCCCAAAGAATGTTCCCTTCGCCAACATTTGCACACAAGAAAACACCCATAGCAGTGACATAGTGGTTGGAATCGCAAGGGATCAACAGCAAATGCTGGGCCCCACTTAAACCTTACCTTAGAATATTGTGATTGGTTGGTTGGCTTCCTCAAAGTAACAGCAAATTATGGGCCCGCAACAGCCTGGTTTGCCTAATTAGTGATTATAGATTTATAATGAAGAATTATTATGATCATCATTCTTCTCAAAAAAAAAAAAAAAAGTAAATAAAGTGCTAGGATCACCATTTAAAAAAATTCCCCCTAGGGTTTTGATAACGGATTGGATTTGGGCATACGAGATCCAATCGAGGTCTGATTCAGGCTTATTGGATCCTTATGTGGATTCAAACCCAATAAGAACCTAGACATTATATTTGATCTGTACCCGATAATTAAAAGGTGTGTACATACATGATGCGGAGGCAATAATTGATGTTTTTTGAAAGAAATCCGATCATGCGAAAGCTGGACAATTGAAGCAAAACAGGTAATTTCGAATAGATTTCAAGATGCAATTTTGGAAGATGAAACTTTTGACTCGTTGCATATATAGAATCCTTATTATAGTATGTTTTTTGAAAGTTCAGGAAGTTCTCTACACATAAAAGTAATTATAATATCCAAATAAGCTTCAAGTTTAAAGATATTCGTTTCAGGCTCAACTGCGTGGGAAAATTCTGGTTTCTAGTTATTTTAAGAAAGTCTCTTTATTTTAGTAGTTTTTTTTTTGTTTTAAAAAGTAGCACATATATTTGCTTTTATATGTTGACGATATGCTTATTGCTTCCAGGAATTCTTCGGCTATTCGAAAGCTGAAAGATGAGCTGTCATCCGAGTTTGAGATGAAGGATCTTGGAGAGGCAAAGAAGATATTGGGTATGGAGATCGAGAGAGACAGGATGAAAGGGAGTTTGAAGCTTACACAGAAGAGCTACTTGCAGAAGATGTTGAAGAAATTCAGCTTTGATGGCAATGCAAAAGCAGTTAGCGGAACCCTCTTCGACCATGACCTCGTCCTGACATCTATAATTTTAGGAGAAGATCTTATAACACACAATAAATGAGACCTCGAGCATAAATAAATTAACATATAACAATAGGAAAACATATCACATAGTATTCTCAAAGTACTTTATAATCAAAGTAAGATGGTCATCATAAAAAAAGTTCTCAAAATTTTCGAGTTATACGTATAACGGCCTCACTCAATCTAGAGATTCCTAGAGAACTCTATACATGAACCATAGGAAACTATATACTAGCCCTTGTTACATTTTTTTAATTTCATGAAATATATACCGTCTAATATTTTTTTGGTAATCTTCGGGGAAAACCAGTATGCACAGCAAAATCCATAGTTCATCAAAGTATATCAGAGATATACGTCAAATTCCATATTATTGAAATTGTTGATTTTTGGCTTGAATCCAAGGTGAATATTGGAATGTCAAAAACTGGAGGGCTTGACGATGGGGACAAAAAGCTATGTCAAGCTTTATGCAAACTTAAAGCTGAGCCTGATGTTGCCAAAGAAGTGAGACCTATTTTGAAATCTCTTCAAATCTCTAGGAGGTCAAAAATGGAGGCAGGCTGAAGAGCTTTCGGTGGAAGGCTTTGTTTTTTGTCAACAACATCAGGCTCTTTAGGTGTTGACAAAGAGAGTTTAGGTAGATTAGGAGGGGCTTTGTTTTTTGTCAACAACATCAGGCTCTTTAGGTGTTGACAAAGAGAGTTTAGGTAGATTAGGAGGTCGTTATCAAATGTCCCTCTCACTTCTCTTCTTTAGGTGTTGACAAAGAGAGTTTAGGTAGATTAGGAGGTCGTTATCAAATGTCCCTCTCACTTCTCGTCTCCAGAGGGATTTCTCCCAATCTCTCACTCTCTCTTAAAACTCTCGGTGTGGGTTTACAACTTTGAAGCGAGAACAAAAACAAAGGAGAGTCTGCTAAAATTTTGTATGTATTTGAGAGATTGAATATAATGAAAGCTTCCTCTTGCCGTGGACGTAGATCAATTTGATCGAACCACGTAAACATTTTGTGTTTGTGATTGTTCTATTTTCTGGCTTTGTGTTAATTTATCCCAACAGAAATGATCTCCCTGGAAATGATTTCAATACTCTCTTTAGCTTATCGGTGAAGTACAATAAGAAAGCTGAAGAAGAGATAGCAAATATGCATCATATCATGTTTTTGGAGCTCCCGGATCTTTTTTATGGAAGATTATTTCCAGGAGGAGTGTGGTCATTTGATGCACTCTTCCTACAGTCTTCACTGTATTTTTTATGGAAGATTATTTCCAGGAGGAGTGTGGTCATTTGATGCACTCTTCCTACAGTCTTCACTGTATATCACAGGTTTATATTAGCTTTCATTAAGTGTGGTCATTTGATGCACTCTTCCTACAGTCTTCACTGTATATCACAGGTTTATATTAGCTTTCA